TTTTTTTTTTTTTTTCCTTCCCCTCCCCCATGGGTTCCTGTTGAGTTTCTCAGGATCCACATAAGAGTGAAACCATATGGTATCTGTCTTTCTCTGTATGGCTTATTTCACTTAGCATCACACTCTCCAGTTCCATCCACGTTGCTACAAAAGGCCATATTTCATTTTTTCTCATTGCCACGTAGTATTCCATAGTGTATATAAACCACAATTTCTTTATCCATTCATCAGTTGATGGACATTTAGGCTCTTTCCATAATTTGGCTATTGTTGAGAGTGCTGCTATGAACATTGGGGTACACGTGCCCCTATGCATCAGTACTCCTGTGTCCCTTGGATAAATTCCTAGCAGTGCTATTGCTGGGTCATAGGGTAGGTCTATTTTTAATTTTCTGAGGATCCTCCACACTGCTTTCCAGAGTGGCTGCACCAATTTGCATTCCCACCAACAGTGCAAGAGGGTTCCCGTTTCTCCACATCCTCTCCAGCATCTATAGTCTCCTGATTTGTTCATTTTGGCCACTCTGACTGGCGTGAGGTGATATCTGAGTGTGGTTTTGATTTGTATTTCCCTGATAAGGAGCGACGCTGAACATCTTTTCATGTGCCTGTTGGCCATCCGGATGTCTTCTTTAGAGAAGTGTCTATTCATGTTTTCTGCCCATTTCTTCACTGGGTTATTTGTTTTTCGGGTGTGGAGTTTGGTGAGCTCTTTATAGATTTTGGAGACTAGCCCTTTGTCCGATATGTCATTTGCAAAGATCTTTTCCCATTCTGTTGGTTGCCTTTTCGTTTTGTTGGTTGTTTCCTTTGCTGTGCAGAAGCTTTTTATCTTCATAAGGTCCCAGTAATTCACTTTTGCTTTTAATTCCCTTGTCTTTGGGGATGTGTCGAGTAAGAGATTGCTACGGCTGAGGTCAGAGAGGTCTTTTCCTGCTTTCTCCTCTAGGGTTTTGATGGTTTCCTGTCTCACATTCAGGTCCTTGATCCATTTTGAGTTTATTTTTGTGAATGGTGTGAGAAAGTGGTCTAGTTTCAACCTTCTGCATGTTGCTGTCCAGTTCTCCCAGCACCATTTGTTAAAGAGACTGTCTTTTTTCCATTGGATGTTCTTTCCTGCTTTGTCAAAGATGAGTTGGCCATACGTTTGTGGGTCTAGTTCTGGGGTTTCTATTCTATTCCATTGGTCTATGTGTCTGTTTTTGTGCCATCACCTAACTCAGTTTTAATTGAAATATTTTTATTCCTTTTGAAAGACTAAAAAAAAAAAGCCTTTAAACATAGTATTCATTTTTACAAACTGTTTTAAAAACTCTTAACTAAAAACAAAAAACCATTCCGTTTTTATTATCACCATCATTGTTATTTTTATTATAATCAAAATATTGAATTATGATGCATGGATAGTGGTCTCCGTTTTCATTGGATAATTGGGGTTGTTTCTAAGCCTCTCTTTAAGCTGTGAGTGGGCACACAGAAGTTAATAAATACCCGGTTTGGGAAGAGAAAGCTTATGGACTGAGTGTTTGTGTCCCTTCTCCGCCCCCAAATTTATAATTTGTGTGTTGAAGCCCTAGCCCTGATATGATGATATTTGGAGGTTGGGCCTTATAAGGATATAATTTGGTCCATATGAGGTCATGAAGGTGGAACTCCCATGATGGGATTAATCTCCTTATAAGAAGAGGAGGAGACACCAGAACTTCCTTTCTTGGCCACATGCTGATATAGCCAGATAGCAGCCTTCTGAAAGCCAGGAAGATGGCCCTCACCAAGAACAAATCTGGGAGCACATTGTTGTTGGACATCCCATCCTCCAGAAATGTGATGAATAAATGTCTGTTGTTTAAGCCACCCAGTCTATTTTTGTTATTGTTGTTATAGTAGCCTGAGCTGAAATACACTTAAGACAAAATCTCTCAACCACAAGGAGCATAATGTAGCAATGATGGAAACATGTAAAGGAAAAGAGCCTGGGCAAACAGGGGAAGAAGAATTGGGGAGAAGGCACCAGTGTTTTGTTTTGTTTTTTAAACTATTTTAGTCCCCAGATAACCCTCACTACTTAGGCGCTTTTAGGCTTGCTCTTCCCTCCTTCCTTCCTTCCTTCCTTCCTTCCTTCCTTCCTTCCTCTTTCTTTCTCTCTTTCTCTTTCTTTCTTCCTTCCTTCCTTCCTTCCTTCCTTCCTTCCTTCCTTCCTTCCTTCCTCTTTCTTTCTCTCTTTCTTTGTTTCTTTCTTTCTTTCTTTCTTTCTTTCTTTCTTTCTTTCTTTCTTTCCTTTTTACTAGAACTAGCCAGGTGGCCTCACCTAAATGCAAGGAGACTGAGAAATGGACTCCCTGGCTCCATAACCACTCTGTAGCAGCAACTCTGCACTATAGACAGAGCACACAGCTGATGGTCTGTAGCACAACATTTTGTGTGTTACTTTAAGCTGAGAAAATGATTTTTACAGCCATATACTCTTTGCATTCTAAGGGCACTTTAAGTTATGAGCCAAATATTTTTAATGCCTAAACATTCAGTCAGTTCAGTTGACCAGCCAGGTAATTGAGTGGAGGCAATCTACTTGGTTGTTTGACTGAATTTACAATTACTGGGCTGAATGGAATGTTTACTTTGGTATAAAAAGTTTGTGCAGTAGTCTTATATAGATATAATCACATTGCTGCCAGTGTAAAATTTGTCTTTGTCACTATATTTATTTTTCTAGACACTGTCACCTTCTCTAATTTACTTTCCCAAATTCCTTGTAGAATGCTCCATTGCCCTAGGTTATTCAGAATGCTTCTTTCATAGCTTAGCTGAGAATATACTGACCAGGTTTGTCTCAGCATTTTTTCAACACAAGCTAGTTTACATATTTTATTTTTGCTGTGAATACCAGATGAGGTCAATCCTACAGATCTCTTGTTTAAAAAAATAAAAATCTCTTTTAAAACCGTGTTGATGGTCAGACTATTAAATATATTGAAAAGATGTCCTTAAAAACAAATTATATTTAAAAAGGTCTTTGTTACAGATTTTTAAAGGAAATTTTTAATTTTATCTCTATTTCTTAGGCTTTCAGTCTGTATTTTCCTAGCTTAGATTTTAGGGTGTTATCTCAGGCTTACATTAATGCCTAGCAATATGCTTTTATAAAGCCAGACTCAATTTGGCAAACATCTCTACAGTTAGAGAAATTTGGAGTTGAACATTTAGCATTGATTATGTACTTATATTTAAAATGCAGGAATTCAATAAAATGATCCATTGACAAATATAATGAGTGCCTTTTCTGTAAAGGTTGCACAAAAAATGAGTGATTATCTCCAAGGAATTTACACTCTGGACCGAATCATAACATCTGGCACAGCAAAATTTCATAGAGAGGACAGGACATATGTAAAAAATGTTAACTAACAATCAGAGATAGCCCATAATAAGAGCCTAATGGGTAGAGTGGGAAATCAGCTGTGTAGGAGGTCAGCGGAGAGAGGGATCATCAAGGTCTGAAGCAACTAGGAAGGAAACGTAGATGGCATGAGTCTGTAGGACGGATCTAAACAGAAGATGTTTAGATAAGTTGAAAGGTAAGGAGGTGGGCATCTCAAAAAGGGATACATGCAAATGAAACTTCAGAAGCTAGAATCCATATAATGTTTTATTAAGTGATAGTGAGTAGACTTTTCTACAGGAAACTTCAGCTTAGTGAATGAAAATAGTTTAAACGTTGGACAGATAGGTTGCTCTCAAATTGTGGAGAGCTCTAAATGCCAATTTGATAAGTATGGCCTTTATTTTATATTCACCAGGGAACCACTGGAGATTTTGAGATGGTCTATTTATTGAGAGCAACTTAGATCCTAAATTTGTCACCAGCTCTGGATTTCTCTCCCAAGCCAGGATTGTGTGAAGTCATTACAATTTAAAGCATACTGTCGGTCGGTCATTCCCTGGACTCCAACTTCTGTTTCACCCCCAACATACAGAGTAGAGAAGAAATGAACTACTACATGGAGATTGCTTTCTCCTACTTATCAAGACAGAGTGGTGTACATTCACTTCTTTTGGGGGCATGTGTTCCAAGAAGCAGATTTCCATTACAGACTTGAAACTGAGGTGTGTGAGGAGCACACAGATTTCTTCCTTTGAACTTTGAAGGAGATAATTTGCTGTTAACATAAAAATAAGACTATTCACAAATCATTAGCTCTGAAGAAAAATGACAACAACATCGTGAGGTACTCCGCCTGTTGGACAAATACAAAAAGAATCAATTGTGGCATACCTCTTGACTAAAGAGCATCAGTGAATAACTGCCTGCAGAGCTTGTTATATTTCTGAGTTGTATGTATGGTTTACAGTTGCGGCCATGTGGTAATTGCACCAAGTTGACCATATTAATAGTGAGTTTATCTACACCATCTGCTGTTATATTGACATCTACGTTTTTCAACATAGCACCCTATTTTTGTTCTGTTATTTCTTCTTTTCCTTCTTCATGTCCAGCCATCCCTACTGATATCTGCACCATTTCATGTTATCAAAAAAAGGAGGCTTTCAGTGGAGAAGTGATGGATGGCAGGGATAAGTGACCAAAGAATTTAGTAGAAAAAAGTTGTAATTCATGGCCCCATACAACTGTAAAAAGGTGAGTCTTCGGGTAAGAAAGTATATGGAGTAAGCGTGAAAGAGACAGGAGGGTTTAAAAGAATCAAAGGAAATGGCTGACAGGATAGAGGAGAATGAGGACCATACATGTGTAGGATAACGGCAGAACAGTTCAGAGATTAAGACGGCATTAATGTGATCATCAGAAAGATACTTCCAAGTTTTGGCAACACACTCCAACAGCAGTAACTCCAAGGAGCCTTCTGAAATCAGGAGCCAACAGGTGAGGTTTCCTTTAACTTTATTCTTGAATTGCAGTCAAGATTAACTTGTATAAGCCCCATTTTCTGATGTTTTAGTTTGTTTCCAAAGCGCTGTTCCTTCCAGTTCATTTTTTCACTTATCCTCACAAGGTAGCTGTGATAGCTTCTGAGCAAATCTCCTGGCACCCAACTCTTAGCTAATTCCATTAGAAAACACTGACTTTGTGTGTGAAAGGTGAAAAAAATTCTATTACATCGTTGCTAGATTTTTAGAACTATAGCTAAAGTTCAGGAAAGGCTTGGGGTTCCAAAGAGTAGAAAGATAGAGAAAAGAGCAAACGTATATATTCAGTATAAGCCAACAGAATTAACCTGGGCATTATTTGAGCTTTTGTTCCCTGAAGCCATGGATCAATGGTGCAGAAATAGACACTCACCTCTGACAAAGAAAAAGCATGGATACTGGCATGGGAGGGCATGGTTCCTTTTCTTTCAGCCCCAGATCAAATTTAAACCTGTGATTTTGGAGCTTACTCATCAGAGGAGAAATATCATGAGCTATTTGCTCTCTCTGCTGTAACACAGCTCTGGCAAGCCTGGAAGTTGTGTTGAGATCGTCAAATCTATAGTCAAGGACCATCTTTGTGAATCATGAAACCATATGCCACTGGTTGTCTGAATTGGAGGAAAAAAACACCCCAAAACAAAAAAACCCAACTCTACACCAACGAAACTAGTGATGTGCTTAGACAGTGCCAAGGGCCATTTGACCATCTTACACCTTCTCAATCTATGCATTTAAAAAATTTGTTGCTACTGCCTGAACCATGTAAAATACCAGAACTCCTGTAGTGCTAACAAGGAATAAAGATCTTGCACCAGATGGTGCCTCTTGTCTCCATCTATCTCTAGCCCAAACAATCTGCCAGAGTTTTGAAGAAAAATACGATGTGATCATGTTGCAAAGTATATGAAGAAACAGTATGAAAAGTAATCTGGCTCAAGCATTGGAATCCAGAAAGAAGGAGATTATTATGACTGTGAGCCTATGGATGAGAGGGTATTGTTATCCCTGAATTTTAGTCCTTAAGACAAATGGCATACCTGGGCACAGCTGGAAGGTGAGTATCTCACCGAGATGTCTCTTAGCATCTCTGCAACATATTGACATCAATGAATATAGTCAAAATTTCAGAAATTCATCTGGATATTTTTCTTATATAACATAAAATGAACAGTTTGATGACTTTTATAAAATTGGGTTTAAGGGATAGTACACAGAAGAACTCCATTTAACTTTTTTTTTCCTATATTTAGCCTTTCAAGTTCTGAATTTGGTCATCTTAGTGACAAGAACTTTGGTACAGTTTTTATGTCCCTTTTGCAAGATATTGTTACAATTTTCTTTCATAAGCTTGGATGGGATTTTTTTGGTCATTTTTCTGCTTCTCTATAAGCCCTTTGTGGCCACCATGTTTTCAAGTATCCTGCACTTCCATACTTTGATCAAGGTATTGGTACCCCTTTGCCATAAAATCCTTGACAATTTTATCTAACACTTACAGGATCCTAACGTGCTTTATGGTCAGGGGATATTTAGTGGGAGAGAAAGAATCTTTCAGGTATTTTCTAGATGCAACTCATCTGAACAGACGGTTTAGTTTTAGGTTTACTTTTTGTGCTTGGCCTGGAGTATGTAAATGGTGAGCCTAGAAAATAAGGATGATATGATAGAATTTAGTTCATTGCTGCCGTCAGCATGTGGTCTGCACACTGATTCTGATCAGCAAATGTGTGAAAGGTCTGTGATGAGGCAAATACAGAAATTGAGAGTCAGCATTTAGAAACTTCTACAGCAATTTGACATAGCTGTGGCATCCAAGCATGTGATCACTTTTCCAGAAGTTCATTTTATTTTAGTTTACCTAAGTATCAGTCCATGATGGATTGGAGGAAATAAAAACCATGTTCAGTAACCATGTTCAGACAGTTTAAGAGGCCTCACTCTAGAGTCCATAACTGCATCATGTTATGTAAGATGGATTGAAATAAAGACAATGGGTCCATGCCCAAAGAGGACGTTATAGCAATAATCTAGCTATGCGTTTACCATCCGTCAGGAGCTTTAATGATAACTGTGAAAGGAAAAGGACACAACAATCACTCTGGGAAGGAGTGGGATGTAGTTCTGAATTGAATGGGCTGTGCAATCAGGAAACATGTGCATCCCCAAGCCTGGTAAGCAGCATGGATGGCATTGCTACCAGTTCACATAAGAGAGCCTCAGTGGATAAAGAACCCTGCAAACACTAGGAATTCCGGCTTTTTAGTTTTCAGTTGGTGCTGGCAAAACATCTATTTAGAAATTTGCAGTGAGCCATGAAAGACCGTGGATCTCAACTGAAGAGTTCAATATTAGAAATTTAGAACAGATGGGAAATTCTCCCTGGTAGTTTGACAAAGAGAAAAGAAGTTCCCTCTTCACATTTTCTACTATTTGAGATGATATGGTTTGCAGTTTTTCTTTTCCCTTTCAAGGTAGATGTAGTACGTGGAAGCAAATGAAGGACACATACATGCTCAGAACACTTCTCTCTTTGCAGGGTGTGTTGGCACATTGCGAGCACTTGAAAAACGCCGGAGCTGGGTTAGCCCATTGAAAAAGTCACAAAGCCTACTTAATGATGATGTATCTAAATGATATTTTAAGTAAAGCTTTTGTTTGTTTGTTTGGTATTCCACATTTGAATTTCATCAAAGAAAGAAAATCAGAAATGAGTAGTGATTAACTCTTTCCAGGTTATCTCCATAAAACCTTTTTTCCCTCCTTTTAACCTCTTAATAGAGTTGTGATAATGTTTTCAGTGCTAACAATAGTATCACTATGATTTCTGATTCCTCATTGTACTCTTATTAGTGATTTTGTTAATTTCATTTTTTTGTGTGTTAATTTCATTTTAAACATTTTGTCAGTCTATACGATTTTTATGGGCTGTGAAAATGATCCATAGGAACAATTGTTTTTATTGTTGCTTCTGTGGAAATTCTATTACAGAATTATGGCTGAGGGAAAGGGTGACACCTCATCTAATTCAACACACACACACACACACACACACACATACACACACACAAACACACACCACGTTCCTACCAGATGATCTCTTTGACTCCTTGGTGCAGGGAGTAAAGGAAATATTGGGACTCAGGTAAACATTCATCTCTCTGGGTCTAGGAGACACTGGCATTCACCAAAAATACAGTGTGGATTGTTTGTTTTTACGGTATATCTCATAGAAGTATTAGCTTCACAGTTGGAAAGAGGTCCTTTTTTAAAAAAAAATTTTCTATTATCAAATACCTAACCCATTCCCATTTTAGCCCTGCTGCCAAGGGAGGACAATTCCACTTGTTACTGGTCTCTGAGGGAATGAGGAGGAGAATGATCTTTCTCCCTGGGCTTTGGGAAGTATGTTGCTTGCTGGGTGTGAACCTGGCCTTGAACAAATGGCAGAGTCCAAGACCATGTATGCCAAGTAATCTCCCTTAGCTCATTAACATGTACAAAACACATAGGCAAAATGGTAATTCCTGTTTTATTTTTTCCCTTTTCTTTCTCGACCATCTTTCTAAAACTTCACATTGCCTCTCCTATTCATGTCTTTGTGTTCTTCCCTCTGTACGGGCATCATTTGATGGGCAAAGAGTGCCTGCTTACACACTGCACGTCATTTGGGCTGTCGTCGAGTGTGCAGGGTATTTCAATGTGATTGCATCTGTATTCATCTACTGACAGAAGTGGCAATGTTGCAGACAGGGATATTTGCTATCGAAACAAACAAAGCGTGTGGTGTTATAGATTTGTATGCAAAACCTTCACAACAAAACTAAGTAGCTATTTACTTTAAATATGCCAATTAACTGTTACTAATGTACAGTGCAATTCTAGGTTAAGGATGATTGATAGTAACACGCAGTGAAATGTTCTTAAACTACAGTCAGGAAATGTAAATGTACAAAATGGAAAGAACCAGCAGCTGACAGCACTAGTTACATGTTTCAAAACAACACTTTCAAATTGTTCCTTCATCCTTTCTCTATTCTGCATTTCTACAGCCTGGTAGCCAGCACTATACTAAGAAAGTTTCAGAAAAGAGAAAATGTTTTAGTACGAAGTAAACATCATGGGCTTAATCTCATTTGTTTCACTCAGGCAGAACTCTTAGGAACCACAGTGGGAGTTTTGCTTGACTGAAGAGAATAGTATTGTCTCTTCTAAATGTCTGACATTGAATCTGTTGCTATTACAAAACTAATTAAAAGGAGAGATGACTTCTCCTTTAGTTGCTACACCCTGTCTCCACCGACACTCTTCTTCATTTGCCCTAGACTAACACTATCCAAAAAAAATACAAAGAAAGCCACAAGTGCTAGCCACATACATATTTTTAAATTTTCTTGGAACTAAACTTAAGAAATAAAAAGAAACAGATGACATTAATTTTAATAACATTTTTATTGAGCCCAGTATTTCCAAACTATTAGCATTTTAACACGTAGTCAATATAAAATATGAATAAGGTATTTTGAATTCTTTTCTCCATACCAGGTCTTTGAAATTTGGTGTGTATTTTGTGCATATAGGTTATGTCGATTTCAGAAGAACCACATCTTAAGGTTTTGGTAGCTTTCCGTGGCCAGACTCTACTATATGGGATAGAACAGTTCTGTATTTTGCCATTTAAGGACCAGTCTAGTGTGAGTGATTAAAATGATTACTTTGGATGGTCAGGAAAAGCTGGATGTGCATCCTCTATCGACACAATGATACAATTGCTGTTCAATTCTGCCAGTCACTGTTAAAGCCTGTCATTTTGTTGGGGAAAGATGAGTTAAATTCATAAACTCAGTCAGCTGATTGATGATTTTACACAGCTACCTGGCTTTTAAATGCTAACATATGTGTTCCAGGGATACATTATAAATATTCTCATACTAAAATCTCAAAAGAAAAATAGGGAATTACTTAAAAAGTAAAAGTATAATGTCAAGGGCCTTTTGATATGCTTTAAATGCCAGTCGAACATTTTCATGACGCATTTTATCACAACAATAAAAATTGGGTGTGTATTGTTAGAAAAACTATCAGTAAGTGAGGATACTGTCTAGTAAACCCTCTAAGAAGGAAAACTGGATCTACTTAACTCCAGTTAATTATTTATTAACACTAACTATAAACTAGAGAACATAGCGCAAACATGATTAAGCAGAAATTGAGCCTCAAACACGGGAGGAGATAATAAAAGAGGAGCTTTTTGGGGGAGAGCATTAGATTTTTCCAGAGTCAGACAAATTATATTAATTTACTGTTTTCTGTATGCAACACACTGGTAAAAGATGTGGAGGCAAATGACAACAACAATAACAACACAGTTATGTCATGCTTGTTCAAGGTTAGGGAAGACATTTATGTGAGGACAAACCTCCAAAACAAACCATAATAAATTAAGTGCTGTAATTAAGGTAATTATCAGAAGCACTGAGATACTCTTTAAGTATGTTGTCTTTGAAGAGTCGTGGAGTATTGTGGAAAGGCACCCATTTCTGCCCTTCTGCTTTGCTCTGCACTCCCCACCTCTGCAGGCTGCATTTCAGTTTCCCAGATTTCTGTGTCAGCTGACTCTCCAGTGGGTGAAGCCAGTGGGAAGCCCAGTGGGAGATAAAGGGCTGGAGGAAGGGACAAGTCAGGTTATTTCCCCTATTTCTCTGTGCCTCGGGGGATATCTCTGGAAATGTCTCAGGTAATGTCTTCTCTATAGCTGTAACTCCTGCTCTCCATTCCTGTCACAGTTGCGTCTTTCTCCAGGTGACCGTCACCTCTGGCCCTGGAATCACAGACTCCTCCCTTTTATTGTCTAGCCTAGAAGTCCTAGTGACTTCCTGCTATTTCTGATCTGCGGTTGCCTCACCACCCCCTTGTTCAGTGAACCTTTCGGTGTCTGTGTAACCAATTCCCTGTACTAAATCCACTCCCTTCCACTGTTTTAAATACTAAGACTCACCCTCCCCAGTTGAATTGTGACTGATATAGAATGAAAGATAGATTCTGGAAACAAAAATGAGCCAAGTGCCAAATGAATTATTAAGCAGATTGCATATGTGCACCCAAAAGCAGGCAGTGATCACTAACAGCCAACATGAGTTCCTCAGCAGCAATCATGACCAATTCACTTCGCTTATTTAATTGGTGGTTACAGACGTACTGGCATTAGTACGTGAGCAGTGCCTTTGAAGTGATCTCTCATGATGTCCTTGTGGTTAAGAGACACATGTGCTGGATGATACAGATTTAGTCAGGTTTATAGGCTGTACTGGAAAATACCTAGAGGGAACCATGGCTGCTATTCAATATTTGAAGAGGGATTAGATTAAATCTTTGAAACACTAGAGGCTAGAGCCAGGATCAATGTTTGAAGTTCAGGGAATCTGATTTTGGCTCAGTAAATGGAAGTGCATTCTAAGAATTAGACTTCTTCAGAAATGGAATAGGTGCTCTATGAGGAAGATGATTTCTGTCCCTGTTTGTATCCAGACACATTTTACCAGATTTTTTTTAAAGAGATCCTTGCATTTCACTTGAAATATGTTAGTCTGAAAGTCTCTTCCAACTGAAAGCTGAAGAACGTATGAATATGGTTATCCATGCTTGATACTAGCATGACACCAGATGTAACTTTGTCGTTGGATTAGATTTCAGAAGGAGCCCCAAAACTTTCACTGCCTCCAGGTGATCATGGTTAATGTTAATGATCATTGTCCTGCTGAAAACCAATTAATCAAATTTCCTGGTTTATAGAAGCACAAATGTACGTTTTTTTTAGTTCAGGGATAAAAGGCTTTTGTCTCACTTTGAGAAAATCAACATATGAAGGAAGGGGCATAAAGCATGAGCAAACACTACGTAAACATTAATGGATGCATTTAGAATATAAAGATATGCATACAAGAAATTTTGAAGGTTTTCATGAGGAGTGACATCAGTCTTGTGTGGGTTAGTTGTCAGGACAAAACTTGACTTCATAAGAAAGTTTTTGCAGAAGATGAAAATTTTAGCAGGTATTTTTATCACCTGCTATGGCAGAAAACATTTGAACTTCAGCTATAATCAATCAGTCAATCATTCAACAAGTTTTCATCAAGCACCTGCTATATGTCTAGCATCAGAGATAGCCAAGGGCAAAAATTTTAAGCAGGAGGAATTGTTTTCTTGTCTCTTTTACTCTGCCCTTGCGCACTGCCTGATGTCAAGAATTTGAAAGATTTTCAATGACCTGTAGGGGTCTGAGAAAATGTTTTACAATAAGACACAAGATATATCCTAAGTAACATTACTTGTAGAATAGAGGTATGAATGAGTGAATACGTGAGTTCACCTCCATTAAGAGGATTTTATTCACTTGTTTCTGATGAACATGTTTTGAGTACCTTCTATAAACAAAGCCCCGAATGAATTACATATTGTTCCCACTTTCATAAATTTCCAGGATCGTGATGATAAATCCATGCATACAGAGCTAATTGTAATACAATATAAGTGCTGTGCTACAGGTATTAACACAATGCTATGGTAACACAGAGGAGGATATGATTAATTTATTAATTTTGCTGCAGTGGGGGTTGGGTGAGAGGCTGGAGCTGACATGGGAGAAGCTTCAACATAGAAGAGGCA